TGACCGGGTGGCCTATTTCCGCCGCGTCGACCTCCGCTTCCAAAACATGTTCCCTAAGGCAGTAGAGTCTGCCTGGGCGTCCAGAGCGTGAACTGGGGAAACAGCCACAGTTACATACCCCTTGGTCAGACCTGATCCTGCCTGCAAGTGGTTGAGGTGGAAACCAAGAGGTAATTAAAAGACCCCAAAAATCCCACCTCTTAATTCCTTTTCTGTCTGAGAACTGTTTTGGCCAGCCAATATGTTCTAATCTACTACGTGGGCAGCGCCATTCTGGACAATTCATTGAAGAAATTTAAGTTTGTACCACCTGTGTAGCACCAAGAACTGGCCCCAGGAGAGGGGAAATGGAGCAGAAGTAGTGAATATTGTAATGTCCTGTGCGAATAATTAATCTGGGAAGCACATGAAAATAGAGAATTCAAGGTCAAATCAAGTCAGGGTAAATTTTTTTTTCTTCACTTTAAAATGAAGGAATTGAATGAAGGTCTGTCGCAATTATTCTGATGCTGTGGGCCAGTGGACAAGATAAATCTTTAGGGTTCCAAAATAAACGTTATGGAATATTTTGTGTTCTTGGCACTATGTCCTCATCTCCATACAATCCTTCCAGATTCTGCTCAGAATTTCTCTTTTGGCCCCTTTGGATAAAGAACAATTTCATGGGGCTGGAGACATGGCTCAGCAGTTAAGAACAATAGCTGTTCTTGCAGAAGACCCAGGTTTGAATCTCAGCACCCACATGGCAGCTAACAACTGTCCAAAAAGCTAGTTCCAAGGGATCCAACAATCTCTTCTGTCCTCCTTGGGCATTGCAGGACATGGATGCATTTCAGGGCCTGCAAGAAAGCCTGAAGACTAGAGTTTGATCCCCAGAACCCACAGGGTGTAAGGAGCAAACTCCTGCAAGCTGTTTCTCTCTCTCTCTCTCTCTCTCTGACTCCTGCAAGCTGTTCCCTCTCTAACACACACTAAATATAATTAAAAAATTCAATTTTAGATTTATGTGTATGTTTTGCCTGCATATATATATGTATATGCATATATATACACATACATAGATATGTATATATACATACACATATATAGATATGTATATATACATACACATATATATGTGTATGTATATATAATCTGAGCACCACCGGTGTGCCTGGTACTCGAAGAGGCCAAAAGGGGGTGTTGGGTATTGGAGTCCCTGGAACTAGAGAACTGGAGTCACAGTTGTGGGCTGCCATGTGGGTGCTGGAAACTGAACCTGAGTCTTCTGCAAGAGCAGCATGTGCTCTTAACTACTGAGCCATCTCTCCAGAGCACAAAAAAAGTTAAGCTGGGTGTGCTGAGGCACAGGCAGGCAGATCTCTTTGAGACCCAGGCCAGCTGGGGCTCAGGGAAACCCTGTCTCAAAAAAAGACCAAAAAAATGTTTTTTAAAAAATAACAGTGAGCCAGGCGTGGTGGCACATGTCTTTAATCCCAGCACTTGGGAGGCAGAGGCAGGTGGATCTTTGTGAGTTTGAGGCCAGCCTGGTCTATGTAGTGAGTTCCAGGACAGCTGGGGCTACAAGGAGACCCTGTCTCAAAAAGACAAAAATAAAGTAAAAAAATAACTGAGCCGGGCATGGTGACACATGCCTTTAATCCCAGCACTCGGGAGGCAGAGGCAGGCAGATCTCTGTGAGTTCAAGGCCAGCCTGGTCTGCATTGTGAGTTCCAGGACAGCTGGGGCTACAGAGAGACCCTATCTCAAAAAGACCAAAAAATAAAAATAAAAAAGTTTCGGGGCTGGAGAGATGGTGCAGCGGTTAAGAGCTGACTGCTCTTGCAGAGGACCCAGGTTCAATTCCTAGCACTCACATGGCAGCTACAAACCATCCTTAACTCCAGTTCCAGGGGAATCTGAAGTCCTCTTCTGACCTCCGCGACACTGCACGACACAGGTGCACTCACATACATGCAGGCAATACACTCATACACATAAAATAAAAATAACAAATAAAATATTAAGAAAAAAAAGTGTCCACTCTTACCTGTTTTGCCCAAAGTAGCTTTTACTCTGGAAACTGGTTTCCTTCCCTACCTAGTTCTCATCAGTTATTTCACATCTAGGATCTGCCAGTTCCAAGGTTGTACTTATCTATGCATTTTCTAAATCTGTAGCCTTCCATCCAGATATGTCCTCTGAATGCTCAGGATGACCCAAGAACTCTAAGAAGTGCTTGGCAACACATCCCTACTCTCATTCATTTAGTCCAGTTTGCTTATGCTTATTCAGCTAAGATAGCTATAGATTCCTTGTTCCTTGCTTCTCCTAGCTTTTTTTTTTTTTTTACTTTTTGCTTTTTGAGACAATGTCTCTATGTAGCTCTGCTGGCCAGGAACTGGATATGTAGCTGGCAGTGGATATGCCACTGTCCCCTGAGTACTGGCATTACAGGTGTGAGCCACCACACCTGGCTCCCACTTATTTTTTTAATATTTTATTTTTATTTCATGTGATGAGTATATTGCCTGTATGTAAGTGCACCCATGTTGTGCAATGAGAGTGTAGAAGAGGGTGTTGGGTTCCCCTGAAACTGGAGTTACAGACGGTTGTTAGCTGTCATGTGGGTGCTGGGAATCCAACCCAGGTCCTCTGCAAGAGCAGCCAGTGCTCTTAACTGCTGAGCCAACTCTCCCAGCCTTTTTTTTATTATTATTATTTTCATTTGATGAGTGTACTGCCTGTTAAGTGTAACCATGTCATGCAATGCCCACAGAGGCCAGAAGAGGGTGTTGGTCCTCCATGTGGGTGCTGGGAATTGAACCCAGGTCCTCTGCAAGAGCAGTCCGTGCTCTTAACTGCTGAACCATCTCTCCAGCCCCCCACTTATTTTTGCCAGTCTCCATAGCACCCCAGACTGGCCTAGAACTCACAATCCTCCAGCCTCAGCAATGTAAGTACAGATGTTCACTGGAATTACAGGTGTGCACCACTACTCAGCACTTTATGATTTCTCTACTTGTTTCAGCAGAGGTATAAGGAATCAATGCAACTGATGTAGAATAAGGGGCAGAGATGGAATTCTAATCCATGGCTTCAATTTACTGAAGACACAAGTCCTTCTACAGGAATCCAAGATTTTTAACATCATGGGCAAAGCCTAGCATAGAACTGAGATCTTCAAATGTTTGACATTAACCATTTAAAACAAATAGGAAAAAAAAAGTTTTTAAAATAAAGTTTGTAGTCACTGAAATTCCACCAGATCAGTTACCTCTGTTCACTACTGCCAAACTTGAAGAATATAGGAGCAAACTTTCTAGAATTAACTGGAACAGAAAAGGAGGAAATGAGGTGGCAGAACAATGGGAAAATATCTTTGGTTTGTTTTTTTGTGGCAGGGTCTCCCCTGTAGTCGAAGCTGGCCTGGAACTGGCTATGTATACCAGGCTGGCCTTGAACTCTCAAGAGATTCACCTGCCTGGTGCTGGGATTAAAGGCGTGCACCACCATGCCTGGCTAAGGAAAAAAAATTCTTTTCAATATAGTTTTATTATTTTTTATTTTATGTGTATGAATGTTAGGCCAGCATGTATATAAGTACACCTGTGTTGTGCAATGCTCTGAGGTCAGAAGAGGGCGTGGGATCCCCTGGACCTGGAGTTATAAATTGTTAGCCACTATGTGAGTGCTGGGAATCAAACCTGGATCCTCTGATCTGAACCACTGGACCCATCTCTCCAGCCCCCCCCCCCCCCAATTTTTAAACATATTCCCATTTGTCAAAAAAAATTAGAAAAAAGAAAAATTGACTCACAAGAACTAAATTTACAATTGACTTCTACAATTGTAGTGTAGCTAAAAGACCAAGCCAGACACAGCTGGATTCCTATCTCCAAATTATTTACTAGTTTAAAGAATGAAGGCAAGCTAGATGGGTGTGGTGGCCCACACCTGTGAGCCCAGCACTTGGGAGGCAGAGGCAGACAGATCTCTGTGAGTTTGAGGCCAGCCTGGTCTACATAGTGAGTTCCAGCCATCTGGGGCTACAGCGAGACCCTGTCTCAAAAAGACAAAAAAAAAAAAAAAAAGAATGAAGGCAGTTGCTTCATTGTTCTGTTATGCCTTACTAAAACTGTTATATCTAAGGTCAGGGAGTGGTGGCACAACACCTTTAATCCCAGTACTTTGGAAGCAGAGACAGGTGGATCTATAAGTTCAAAGCTAGTCTGGTATATATAGAGAGTTCCAGAGCAGCCAGGACTACATAATGAAACCATCTCAAAAAAAGAAAAAGAAGGGGTTGGGGATTTAGCTCAGTGGTAGAGCACTTGCCTAACAAGCGCAAGGCCCTGGGTTCAGTCCTCAGCTCTGAAAAAAAAAGAAAACCCAAACATATTTTACCCCGTAAGGATTATATGAAGACTAAATCAAAAAACTGTAACATGGTGCCGAATATTAACAGTGAATTAATGTGGGTTTTGCTAACTATTAACTCTTTTCTTCTCCAATCTGTCATAAAAGATCCAGACTAAGAAGTTTCATTAGCTACATATTATGATGTACTCTTTGAAGATCTTAGCCATAATCAAAATTTAAAAAAAAATTTGTTTTTGCTTTTTTACATTATGTGTATGCGTGTTATTTTGTGCATGTATGTAAGTGTACCTATGTTGTGAAATGCCCTTGGAGGGCAGAAGAGGTTGTTGGATCCCCTGGAACTGAAGTTATGGATGGTTGGTTATTAGGCACCTTGTGAGTGTTGGGATTCAAACCTAGGTCTTCTACAAGAACAACCAATGCTCTTAACCACTCAGCTATCTCTCCAGCCCAATTAGTCAAAATTTTAATAAAGATGTGGTGCCTGGGGAGAAGTGAAGTTCGAGAGAAAACGTTATATGCAAGTAAACCTCTTAAAATGCCTCCCAGTAAAGATTCTCAGAATCTTGAAACAATCTTAGGACTTGAAGATTAAGCAGATCATGAAATGCCTACCTAATAAATGACCACACCATGACTAAAATTCTTTTTTTTCTTTATCATTTTGGAGAAGGAAAAATAGGGGTAAAGTCACACATGTTAACAATCCATGATGCTGGGCTCCTGAGCAGTAAAATTTCCCAGCTAAGCAGGAAACTCCTTTAGTTCGCTTTATCAGTATGAATAAAAAGCATCTATGCCTTCACAAGCAGAGCCTCTACTCAGAACTGACCCAAATCTGGGAGAGCAACCATTCAAGTGTAAAGGGCTGCAGGTTCCAAACACAACCAGTGTTTTCTATTGTGCCTCTTCATTTCAGTGGGGATCTGGCCATTGCTCAGAGAACTTGGAACAGGGATCCCAGGGTGAAGCAGCAACAGATGTCTGCAAACACTGTATGGTGACAGTGGCTTAGAGGATCTAGAGTCACAGCTCTCCGTGATGGACTTCCACCTTCAAGAACTCACTGGGCTTCATGAAGATGCCTTCCATGGCCTTCCAGTAGTTGTTCTGACTTGGCTGGGCCATGCCATGTACCTCTTTTTGTCCACTGATGGGTCGACCGTATTGTTCTCCTGTGACAGACAGGAGTACATCAGTAGAAGAATGTTTGAACCGTACTTCACCATCTCTCACCCAATAGGGTCCATTACAGAGCACTGTCCAGTCATCCAGATAATCACCTTCACCTTCCTCACCAAAAGCACTCACTTCCTGCAAAAGAGAAGGTAGCAACATTAGCACAGCTGACATTCAGGCTTTAAAGGTGGAAGAATTAGGGCTGGAAAGATGGCTCAGCAGTTAAGAGCACTGGCTGCTCTTACAGAGGATCCAGGTTTGATTCCCAGCACCCACATGGTAGCTAGCAACCGTCTATAACTCCAGTTCCAGGGGATCTGACACCTCTTCTGACCTCTACTCTGCACAACATGGGTGAACTTACATATATGCAAGAAATACACTCATACACATAAAATTAAAATATTATAGAAAAAAAAGAGTGGAGGAACTGAGCCAAGAACGGTAGAATATGCCTGTAATCACCCAGGAATGGAGACAGGCGGATCAGGGGGTTCGAAACCATTCTCTGCTATACAGCCAGTCTAGGACAGCCTGGGATAAATGAGACCCTGCCTACAACTAAATAAGTAAATAAATAGGAAGCAATGAAAAGAAAAATAAGGTTACCCAAAAGAAACAAAACAGAGATTTTCCAGTGTCATTAAATAAAATTTAAAGGGCAGGAGTAGCACATGCCTTTAATCCCAGCACTCAGAAGCCAGAGGCTGGCGGATCTGAGATTGAGACCAACCTGATCTATATAGTGAATTCCAGGCCAGCTGGGGCTACAAAGAGACCCTGTCTCAAAAAACAAAAACAGAAACAATTAAAAAAATTTTTCTTTTAAATACTCTATCTACCATATAGTTTTATCATACTCTTAATTTTAAAAAAATTTTAATTATCTTTATTTAGTGTATCTGTATGTGTGTGTGTGAGTACATATACCATGGCATGTAGTGGAGGTCAAAGGATAACTTGATTTTCTCCTTCTACCATGTGGGTTTCTGTGATTGAACTCAGGTGGTCAGGTATAGATGCAAACACCCTTACATGCTGAGCACCCTCATCACCCCCAGCACAGAACTACATTCTTTTTGAAGTGTTGGAGATTAAATCCAGGGCCTTAAGCATTCTAAGAACATATTTTATCACTGAGCTCTCATAACTACATGACCTAGATTTTATGTGACCTGGTAAGGAAGTCAGAAGGGGCTGGAGAGATGGTTCAGCAGTTAAGAGCACTGGCTGCTCTTGCTGAGGTACCAGGGTTCAATTCCCAGCACCCACATGGCGGTTCCAGGGGATCCGGTGCCCTCTTCAGACCCCTGTAGGCATTGCACGACATGGATGCACTTATATACATGCAGGCAATACACTCATACACATAAAATAAAATAAAATAAAATAAAATTAGCCGGGTGTGGTGGCGCATGCCTTTAATCCCAGTGCTCCGGAGGCAGAGGCAGGCAGATCTCTGTGAATTCAAGGCCAGCCTGGTCTACATAGTGAGTTCCAGGACAGCTGGGGCTGCAGGGAGACCCTGTCTCAAAAAGACCGAAAAATAAATACATTAAATTAAATTAAATAATAATAAAACAACAACAACAACAAAAAACCTGTCATAGCTAACTAAGAGTCATCTGAGACATTATATCTAAATGTAGTACCCTGTAACAAAAAAGGAACATTAGGTAAAAATTACAGAAACTGGAATACCCTATGGACTTTAGTGATAATGTACCAATATTGCTATAACTGTACAAATTAACATCATTAGTAAAAGGTGCTAAAGGAGAAAACTAGGGGCTGGAGAGATTGCTCAACAGTAAAGAGTTACTGACTGTTCTTGTAAAATAGAAGGGTTTGGTTCCCAGCACCCACATGGCAGCTAAGAACAGTCTGAAACACCAGGTCCACGGTATTCAACACCCTCTTCTGACCTCCATGGGCAATGCATGGAATGGCTGCACTTACATACATGCAGGAAAAACATACACACATAAAAAAATAAAAATAATAGAGTCGGGCTGGAGAGATGGCTCGGCAGTTAAGAACACTGACTGTTCTTGCAGAAGACCCGGGTTTGAATCCCAGTACCCACGTGGCAGCTAGCAACTGTCCATAACTCCAGTCCCAGGGGATCCGACAAACTCTTCTGACCTCCGCAGGCATTGTACCACACGGGTGCACTTATCTACATGCAGGCAATACATGTATACATATAAAATTTTTAAAAATAATAAAAAAATAATAATAAGAGTCAGGTGTGATGGAGGCCCAGGCAGGCAGATCTCTGTAAGTTCAAGGCCAGCCTGGTCTACACAGTGAGTTCTAGGACAGCTGGGGCTACAGGGAGACCCTGTCTCAAAAAGACCAATAAATAAATAAATAAATAAATAAATAAACAAACAAATAAATAAATAAAATAAAAATAAGAGTTGGGTATGGTGGCACATGCCTTTAGTCCTAGCACTGAGGCCCAGGCAGGCGTATCTCTGTGAGTTCAAGGCCAGCTTGGTCTACATAGCAAGTTCTAGCTGGGGCTACAGGGAGACCCTGTCTCAAAAAAAGGGTGGGGGAATCTGGCAAGATGGCTCAGTGGGAAAGATACTGACAACCTGCTTTGGGATCCACATAGTGGAGAGAACTACACACACACCCTGGCATGCAGACAAGTTCACACACACACACACACACAAAATAAAGTGCAATTAAAAAACATCCTTGTCGGGAGGGATGGCTATGTGGCTAAGAGGATGTATTGATGTTTCCAGAGGACCTGAGTTTGATTCCTAGCATGCATGTCAGGTAGATGACAGCAACCTGTAACCCTAGCCCTGCACTCACATGCACAAATCCACAGACAGTAAGTACATATAGACATAATTTAAAAATAATAAGATATTTTTTAAAATTGTGTTTGGGGCTGGAGAGATGGCTCAGCAGTTAAGAGCACTTGCTACTTTTACAGAGGACCAAAATTCGAATCCTAGCATCCATGTGAGGCAGCTTACAACAACCTGTAACTTCAGGTCCATTGGATCTAATATCCTCTTCTGATTCTGTGGGTACATGAACTCATATGCACACATAATTAAAAATAAAATAAACATGCAAGACATGCTGGCACACACTTTTAATCCTAGCACTTGGAGGCAGGGGCAAATGGATTTCTGAATTCAAAGCCAGCCTAGCCTGGTCCACCAGGCCAGCTGGGGCTCAAGACCCTATCTCAAAAATAAATAAATATTAAACAATGTTCCCCAAACCCTTGTGTTTAGAACAGGGGTTGGAGGATCAGTGGGAAGGAATCATTGAGGAGTCTACAATCCCAAGCTCAAAGGTAAAACAAAGTAACATAGGAGGTAGGAGATTAGTTGGGTGGTAGACCTCATGATGAGCATGCATAAAGCCGTGGATTTGATCCCTAAGTCTAAAAATCAAGTGACATGGGGGCTGGAGAGATGACTCAGAGGTTAAAAACACTTGACTGTTCTGGCAGAAGACCCGGGTTCAAATCCCAGCACCCACATGGCAGCTAACAACTGTCCGTAACTCCAATTCCAGGGAATCTGACAGTCTCTTCTGCTCTCTGCGGGCATTGCACGGCACGGGTACACTTACCTACATGCAGGCAATACACACATACACATAAAATAAAAATAATAAATAAAATATATATATGTAAAAAAGAAAACAAGTGGGGGCTGGAGAGATGGCTCAGCGGTTAAAAACACTGGTTGTTCTTGCAGAAGACCCAGGTTCAAATCCCACCACCCACATGGCCGCTAACAACTGTCTGTAACTCCAGTTCCAGGGGATCCGACAACCTCTTCTATCCTCCACAGGCACTGCATGACACAAGTGCACTTACCTACACGCAGGCCATACACACATACACATAAAATAAAAATAATTTTAAAAAAGTGACACAATACGTACTTTATTTTCTCAATATGGTTAATTAGCATCATTAAAAAAAATAATAAACCTAACCAGGCCTCATAGGGTATGCCTATTATGGCTACACAGTGAGCACTAGGCTAGCATAATAGGAGAACCTGTCTCAAAAAAAACACTAAAAAATAGCTGGGCATGAGGACATATGCCTTTGATCCCAACACTCAGGAAAAGGGAATCTCTGTGAGTTCCAGGGCAACCTGGTTTACACAGCCAGTTCCAGGTAAGCCAGGACTACACAGTAAGACCCTGTCTCAAAAATAAACAAAAATTTAATTTTTAAAAATATTTTATTTATTATTTTTATTTATGTGTATGAGTGTATTGCCTGCATGTATGTGAGTGCATCTGTGTCATGCAGTGCTGCGGAGGTCAGAAGAGGGCGTTGGATTCCCCTGGAACTGGAGTTAAGGATGGTTCGTAGCACCATGTGGGTGCTGGGGATTGAAACTGTGTCTTCCGCAAGAGCAGTCAGTGCTCTTAACTGCTGAGCCATCTCTCCAGCCCCAAAGTAAATAAATTTTAAATAGCTGGGCATGGTGGCGCATACCTTTAGTCCCAGCACTGGGGAGGCAGAGGCAGGTGGATCTCTTTGAGTGCAGGGCCAGCCTGATCTACATAGTAAGTTCAAGGTCAGCTGGGGCTACAGGAGACCTGTCTCAATAAAATAAATAAATTTTAAATATAATAATGATGATGATGGTAGTGATGAAGATGATGATAATCTGGGCTGGGGATGTAACTCAGTTGGTAAAATGCTTACTTAGCGCACATGAAGCTCTGGGTTTAATCCAAAGCATAGTGTAAAACTGGGCATGGTGGCACATTCCTATAATCCCAATACTTGGAAGGTAAAGTCAGGAGGAACGGGTTGACGACCTATCTCAGCTACATAGTGAGTTCAAGGCCAGCCTGGTCTACAAATTCAGTTCCAGGCCAGCTGGGGCTATATAGGGAGACTGTCTCAAAAAGACCCAAAAAAAAAGTAAATAAAAAAAATAATAATCTGGCAGGACATAGTGGTACACATGTTGTTAATCCCAGCACTCAGTAGAGTCTCTGTGAGTGCCAGTGAGTTACATGGAGAGACCCTGTCTCAACCAATAATAACTCAAAACTTTCTATTTTAAATTTGGAAACAATGGCCTTATTGCAGTATTTATCAAAACTTGTGCTATATTAATGTATACCTATTCTACCTTTCTTCCCTAATTCTTAATTTGGTCTGGATGTAAAGTCTCCATTTTGACCAACAGCAATTTTCTTCTCTCTTAAGGAGACAGAATCGTTTCTCCAGGTCTGCAGAAAAGAGAACATCTACACCTAGAAATAAAAGGGTTAAGAACCAAGAGATCAAACAAGTCAACTGAGCGATGCAGAACAGCAATGAGCCACTGGATGCCACCTCACCTGGTTTCCGGAAAGAGGTGAAGTGAAATGGTGGCTATGGAGGTTTCGGCCAGTGTTGACGTGTGTCAGCCGAATGGGCTGGCCACATTTGATGGGAGTCCCCCTTTCACACACTGTAGCAGTCTTTCCCCGAATCCTCCAGTAACTGTTGCTGTCATCCACAGAGGTTACACCTGTCACTGACTGTTGGCCACTACCTACAGGCAAAAAAGAACGGCAAGGCGGAGAAGAGAAGTTAGATGTACCTGACACCTAGCTCTAATGAGCCATTTTCAATGCAACGGAAACAAGCAAGGATCCATCCACTATTTGTGAAGCGTTTGCCAAGCTTACATTGTTTCTAAAAGAACCTATATCACACCTTTATTTATAGTCCTCCCCTATCAATTGAAGGTCTTGAAATTTTACTGTGGATGCTATTATGCACCAGCAACCACAACTATGGGTAAGAGGAGCAAAATGCTGCAACACATTGACCACAGAATGAGATGTATCTTGCAAGACGGCAATTTGCCAAATCTTCATTGGCACCTTTAAGGCTACTGACAAGCATATGAATTTGAGCCTCTGTGACTGTGATGAGGTCAGCAAAATCAAGCAAAAGATTGTGAAATTTAGCCGGGCATGGTGGTGCACGCCTTTGACCACAGCGCTCAGGAGGCAGAGGCAGGAGGATCTCTGTGAATTCAAGGCCAGCCCAGTCTACATAGTGAGTTCCAGGTCAGCTGGGACTACAGGGAGACCCTGTCTCAAAAAGACCAAAAAAAAAAAAAAGAAAAAAAATTCAAACAAGAATGTGAAATGGGGGCTGGAGAGATGACTCAGTGGTTAAGAATACTTCCTGTTTTCCCAGAAGATACAGATTTAGTTCCCAGTACCAAAACAAAGGCTAACAATTGTCTATAACTCTAGTTTCCAGGAAATCTGACATCCTCTTCTAGCCTCTGTGGACACTGCACACATGCGGTGCATTTACATACATACAGGCAAAACACTCATACACATAAAATAAATTAAAAAAAAAATTTTTTGGTCTTTTTGAGACAGGGTCTCCCTGTAGCCCCAGCTGACCTGGAACTCACTATGTAGACCAAGCTGGCCTTAAACTCACAGAGATCTGCCTGCTTCTGCCTCCCAAGTGCTGGGATTAAAGGCCTGTACCACCAAACCCAGCTGTAAAAAAAATTTTTTTAAGCGATGTGGAATAGGGAGCTAGAGAGATGGCTCAGGGGTTAAGAGCAGAGTGCTCTTGCAGAGTGTAGGAAACCAGGATGCCAGGCTCTAGGGTGAGGTGAGCCTAAAACCTTTAAGTCCAGGCTGCATTCTCTGCTAAAGGGAGGGGTGCTGAAAACAGTGGCTCTGATAATCCCTGTCTTGCAGAACATTGCCAGACTGGCAGGAGAAAGCAGTCTGGTCATAAGTACAGGCTCCCTGCTCTGTGGGAAAGCGTCTTGGTCAACAACCCTTAGCTCATCTCCTTGTCCTGAACAAATAACTCAGCTATCCCTGGCTAAGAGATTAGGCCAGGTTACAGGTTTACTTCTGAGCTAAAAGCTAAAAGTTTACCATGCTTTTAACTCTAAGAAAGAAAACACTGTGGCCAATAAATTACTGGATGGGTATTGATAACCTTGAGTAAAAGTTTAAGAATCCTTCTGGCGCCAACTAACAAACTGAATGTCCTGCTTCTTTGTACCCTAAATCTTTGTACGTGACTACCATATCCCATGTGACTGCTAGCTCCTTGGGATGTATAAAAACCACCTGAATTTTAAAATAAATCGGCTTGTTGAAAAGACACAGGTCCCAGGATCTAAGACTCTGTCGCCGACCAAGTCCCTCTGCCCCAAGCCAGTAGGTCCCCCGCTAAGAACTGAATGTCCTGCTTCTTTGTACCCTAAATCTTTGTACGTGACTACCATATCCCATGTGACTGCTAGCTCCTTGGGATGTATAAAAACCACCTGAATTTTAAAATAAATCGGCTTGTTGAAAAGACACAGGTCCCAGGATCTAAGACTCTGTCGCCGACCAAGTCCCTCTGCCCCAAGCCAGTAGGTCCCCCGCTAAGCAAAGCAAACCTGAGTCCCAACAGCAGATGACCCAGGTTTAAAACCAGCACCCATATGATGGCTAACAACCATCTGTAACTCCAGTTCCACTGGATCCAACAACCTCTTCTGACCTCTTCAGGCAATGTATGGCATGAGTGCACTTACATACATGCAGGCAATACACTCATACACATTAAATAAAAATAATAAATAAAAACTAAAAAAAAAAAAAGAATGTGGAATAGTCAAGAGTGTGAAGAAAAATGGGTTTAGGGTCTGGTGTTGCTGTGTGGGGAGAACTTGGTATCCATTACTATAGAGAAGCCACCCTCTAAAGATACTGACATTGCTTGGGGGTCTCTTGCTGCTGCTACAAGAGGCCCTAGGGTTGTGAGGGCAGCTGGCAGAGGGGTACCAGCTGGTGTGCTGGTATACTTATTCCCTGGACTCCTGTCAGATTAGCAGACCTGTCTGAGGAGTTGGAGGTCCATCTCACTGGGTGACAGCTCCACAGGGAAGAGGCATGGCAGCACTGCTGCAGTTGCTGCTACTACCCCCACTGCTTGAGCGCCAACCCAGTATCCACCAGGATGGGGGACCCCACTCCCACCTGTAGACATAGGAACCCCACCTGCAAAAATTATGGCTCTACCACCTAGTATGAGATCACCCAAGGGCCCACCAATTTGCCTTACCCTTATCGAATGCCATCTATAGGGATACCATCTCCAGGAATAAGACCCCCTCCACTTCCTCCAGGAATGCAACCAAGATGCTAGGATACTGTTGATAAATATCAGTCTTTCTTTTCCCTTCAATGCATCTTATGAAATTGTGTAGTCTGTGAACTTCTTGTCCCCTTTCTGTATTAATTATAACAAATACATAAAGAAAAAAAAAGAAAGAAAAAAGAAAAGAAAGGCGAAGGAGCTCAACCTAATCCTCTTCTCGCCTATGGTCAAAGATATGCACTGTGTCATAATACTGGTGAAGTGATATGGGGAGGAGACACTTCGGTATTTACTTCTACAACATTAAAATATTTAGGAAAAATAGTAAATATATTTATATACTGTCATTTTAGTTATATGATGCACTATACTTAAAAATGTGTGAAAGGGTCAGAGGGATAGCTCAGCAGGTAAAGGCACCTCCCATCAAGGCTGACAACCAAAGTTCAATCCCCAGAGTCCACACAGTAGCAGAGAATTGACTCCTGCAAGTTGCCCTCTGGCCACTACACAGGCACATGTGCACCCTACTACCCCAGATGAAATAAATAAATGTAAAAGGAATTGTCATCCTCTGCCCTCCACCACCTAAGCTGTGGAATGCCCCCATACACAAACACACACACACACACACACACACACACACACATAAATGTAATTAAAAAATTTTTTTATCTCATGTACCTGAGAATGAGTATTTATTTATATGTGTGGAGGTCAGAATACAACTTATAAGACTTGATTCTCTCCTTGCATCACAAGGATCCTGGGAACTGAACTCAGGTCATCAGGCATGGCAACAGATGCCTTTACCCACTGAACTATCTTGCTGGCCCTAATTTTTTTAAAAAAAAGAAAGGAAATGCCATACCAGGCATGGTGACACATAACTGTAATCCCACGTTTTGCAAAGCTGAACCATAAGGATCACCATGACTGAGTGCCTCCAAGCACTGAAGAGGCAGAGGCAGGTGGACTTCTGTGAGATGGAGGACAGCCTGGTCGACATAGCCAGTTTCAGGTTAGCTGGAGCTACAGGGACCCTGTCTCAAATAAACCAAAAAAAAAAAAAAAAAAAAAAAAAAAGTGTACACATTTTTAATAAATTTCTTAAGTAATCCAAAAAACAAAGAAAACAAAATTGCTATAATTTCTCAGATTGAGAACCATAGCGCATCCTAAACAGTTTCATCTACTCCCACTGTATCTTCAACCACTAACCACTACCTGTACAAAAATGTTGTATCTGGGATGGTGAGATGGCTTAGAAGGTAAATGTACCTGCCATAGAGCCTGACAACCTGAGTTCAATCCCTGAGATCTCCATGGTAGAAGGAGAGAACCAACTCCTAGAAGTTGTCTCTGATCTCCATATATATGCTGTAGCAATCACATACCCAAATACAAACACACACACACACACACACACACACACACACACACACACAAAATAAATGTAATAAAAAATTTCAAAAGAATGTCATAGCCGGGCATGGTGGTGCACACTTTTAATCCCAGTACTCGGGAGGCAGAAGCAGGCGGATGTCTGTGAGTTCGAGGCCAGCTTGGTCTACATAGTGAGTTCCAGGCCAGCTGGGGCTACAGGGAGACCCTGTCTCAAAAAGATTTAAAAAAAAAAAAAAATGTCATATCTGGAGAGCTAGCTTAGCAGTTAAGAGCACTGACCACTCTTGCAGAAGACCTGGGTTCAAATCCCAGCACCCATATGGCAGCTAACAACCATCTTTAACTTCAGTTCCAGGGGATCCAATGCCCTCTTCTGCCCTCCTTGGGCATTGCACAACATGGGTGCACTTACATAAATGCATGCAATACACTCATACAAATAAAATAAAAATAAAGTTAAAAAAGAAGAATGTCAGGGCTGGAGAGATGGCTCAGCAGTTAAGAACACTGGCTGTTCTTGCAGAAGACCTGGGTTCATATCCCAGCACCCACATGGCAGGTAACAAGTGTCCATAACTCTAGTCCCAGGGGATCAGACAGCCTCTTCTGTCCTCCGTGGGCATTGCACAACATGGATGCACTTACCTACATGCAGGCAATACATGCATACACACAAAAATAATAAATAAAATTAAAAAAAAAAAAGAGATGGGAGGGAGGCAATGGGAGGGTTCTATCTGGGAAGTGGGTGTATAGTCGAATGAGATGGTTTGGGATGTTCTGTGTGATATACCCACACACCAAAAAAAAAAAAATCGACAAACGACAAA